CTCACTCTATAAAAGTCTTATGCAGTAGAGACCCTGCTCAGTCAAAGTACTTCTCAGTATTTACCAACAGACTTAGTTTATAAACTCTCTCTTTATCCCCAGCTCGTATTTTCGGTCACTTAGATACATCAAATACTGTAAATCATTCATGACTTATTCTAAAAGATATTCACCCCTAGTACTGGAAATGTTAACATTCTGGCTAAGATTGAAATTTTGCAAATATTTGTCTCCTCGAACTTGAATGACACCAAACAAACACAGACTGGTTGTATTAAATAAAGAAATTACAGCCGTAAGAAAGATGATATTACAAAATTAAATGGCCTTGGGCATAATTAATGAGTTTTACTAAAAGGTAAATGTTGTGTATATTTTCCCAATAATAAAGCTTTAGTGAATCACCCCCTCATACATTTACAGACACAACTAGATAGAATTATAAACATCTTAAGGAGGACGCATGGTGGGCTGAGAACTATTTGATTATTATGTATACCAATTGGAGGGATATTTTGTTGCATTTGTTTGCTTATAACATTTTAGAAAATTAAACCATAAGGCCCAAATAACACTACCCTCCTCCCCTGAAGACTCAGTGACAAGCGAGAAAGAGGGATGAACACGAGACTATGAGGGCAAGCAGGAAGGGATGGGTTGAGGGCCATGAGCAATAGGAAATGAATCCTGCCCACAAAGGACTCTGGAAAAGAACCAGAGTACCTGAGCAAGCTGTGACCTGGGCCAGGAAAAAACACACCAAACACCTGACTGCGTGACTAGTGATTTCAAATCTCCGACCTTTTGTTTAGTAGGCCAATACTTTCTCCACAGCATGAGAACCCCTATTAATGTCAATTAGAACAAATTAATTACTTCAAACATAGCCCTTGAAAAGGGCACTATGAAAAGGGCTTTATCAGGTTCTCCTCACTACAGTAGTCTCCTCTTGTCCGTGGTTTCACTTTCTGCAGTTTCAGTTACCAGTGGTCAACCAAGGTTAGAAAATACTTGAATCCAGTGCTGTTCTGAATAGTGTGAAAAATCTAATCTCACGCAGCCCAGCTCCCTTCTAGAGCTTCCTTCCTCCTCTTCTGTTGGGTGCGAGCCTGGTAAACATAGTTGGACAAGCTGCTGTGCCAAACACTGCCAGCTTCTGAGGCGTTAACTCTGGGTACTTGTCATATGAATGTATGTACAGGAAAAAATACAGAGTATTTAAAGGTTCAATACTAACTGTGGTTTCAGAGAGGACTACTCTATTCATATTGCTGCAAAATGAAAAGGCATTAAGCCTTAGATTCACATCTGTCAGTTACAGTATGCTCCAGAACCTCTTTTGACAACTGAACCTACTGGTAATCTTCAATTTAAGTTAAAAAGGAAGAAGTACTCTAACATATTTTTCTTGTTCATCTTGTGTTTACCTGCTACTTTGGCTTATCAAGATCATAATTCTTTTATAAAATTAGACAGACAAATAGCTACCATACATAACCAATCAAACAAATAGTTAAGCTTCTGTAGTACATGGGCCTGCAAGTTCCCAGGTTCCTCTTGTTGTGGTTCCTCTGACCTTAGAAGAAACAGGATAGAGCTCTTTTGCAAAATATAATGACTGTACATCTCACGGAACAATTCAAAAATAATAAGTTAATATACTGATTGGCTATATGAAACTGCTGTAAAAACTAAAGGAAAGGGTGTTTTACTCATAACTAATACTAGGAGTCAGTTTGTAAATATTACTACATGTTCTAATTACATTTATAGAGATGGTTATTATTTTCACATAAAAATATTTTTTGTCCAGGTCTATTTCTTTTTAAAAGGAACTCTGGAGGCATAGTAGGTAAGATATTTGGCTGCTAACCGGAAAGTCAGTGGTTCAAACTTACCAGCTGCTCCGCGGGAGGAAAATGAAGCAATCTACTTCCTTAAAGGTTTATTGTCTTGGAAACCCAATGGGGGTCACTATAAGTCAGAATCAACTTGATGGCAGTGGGTTGTTTGTTTTTTTTTTTTTTTTCTTTTTAAAGATAAAATATCTTCCAAGCCTCAAAATATTCACTTACTCCTCTTTACTTCCCAGTTCTGGTGGAAAATGCTTTTTATTTTATTTTTTGGGGAAAACACTTTTTAAATGGACTCATTGCATATGAATCCATCACTGATAGAGTTAACAGTTATGTGCTTCTTTTGGGTATTTACTCTTAAGCCTTGACTTGGAATTCACTCCATGGCAATGTGTTTGTTTGTTTTTGTTCTGGATCCTTGCCAGGACCTTGAGGTACCTTCCCACATGTGGTCTTAAAGGCTACTATTTTTGTGTGTAGTCATTGTACCTACAAGGCTTTGCCACCCTATTGAATTGAAATTTGCTATTTATTTGGCTTATGGGGTGCCTCAAATTTCCTTCCACTCTAAACTACCTTCTAGAGAAATCAGATGCAAGAACCATAACTCTAGTAAAGGACTGAGAAGAAGCTATTGAACATCTGACTAAACACCTATCAAAAGAAGGACCCCTTACTAAAGGAACTTTGGTTGTTCCATGCTGTCTATAATCCCTGGAATCACTAGCATAGGCCTTGCTTATGTTGAACAAAAAAAATTATTAAATTACAATTAGTGTTAGACAAGTTTGCCTTAGAACCTGAGAGTTCTATTGATAATTTGAGTAATGCCATATATTCTTTGTCCACTGAAGTAACTCAAATGAAAGTAATGACTTTATAAAGCAGGTTAGTTTTTGATGATTTGCTTGCTTCCAAAGGAGGTATGTGTGCTTTAATAGGAGAAAAATGTTGCATGTATATTAATGACACCCAAACTGAAGTGTACCACCATGTAATAGTGGCTAAAGCAACTGCTAGTGAAGCATCTGATGCTACCAAACCAAAAAAACAAACCAAACTCAGTGCCATCCAGTTGCTTCTGACTCATAGCGACCCCCATTGGGTTTCCAAGGCTATGAATCTTTATGGAAACAGACTGTCTCATTTTTTTCCACAGAATGGCTGGTGGGTCTGAACCACCAACCTTTTAGTTAGCAGTCAAATGTCTTAACCCCAGTACCACCAGAGCTCCTTGATGCTACTGAAACCCCTACTAATGCTTCTTGGGATCTGTTTTCTTGGCTAAAACTTCAGGTTCATGGGTCTGACAAATCTTTCAAACTAATAGTTTATAAATTCTCCTTTACGTTATTATTAAGTTACTAGATTGTTTGGTGATTGGGGTCTTTAAAGCTCAAGAGTGACCATCTAAGGTGCAGCAAATTGTCTTCTTTTGATGGAACAACAATGAAAGGAAAAAGCCTAAGAACCAAGTCTGTGGAGATTGTGTGTGTGTCACAACAACTACCTGTAATTAACAAGACCCAAAGAACCTAGATGGTACCCAGCTAACACTTAGTTGATCAAAGATTTTAATCAAATTATGATCAAAAGGAAAGAAATTGTGAAATGAAATTGTTAAATTTTGTTGTAGTGTACTTGCCCATGACACTAAAGGTCATTTTGTTAAATGTTACAAACCTATGCATTATATAATCATACATGGATAATTTTTAAAGCTTATACGTCCAACTTAAACTGAACTAACTTTTAGAAGCATTTTGTCTAATTTCATATCATTGTATTTAGGTGATGAGGCTCGCTGAAACATTTGAAACTTATTCTTTCAGAAAACAATCAAAGATTAATGATTATGTCCTGTTACTTCCTTTTTCTATATATTATTTATTTATTTGATTGTGATTTGGGAGAAAGTTTACTGAGCAAATTGGTTTTCCTTTCAACAAATCTTACACATTTTGTTTTGTGACATTGATTGCAATCCCCACAATGTAATAGCACTCTTCCCACTTCCTCCCTGAAGTTTATCATTTGCCTCCATCCTTCTTTCCTATCCCTTTCTGCATTCTGAGCTTTATCCCTGGGCAAATGCTGTCCTTTCGACTTCCTATGGTTGATTATTCTAATAAGTACATACCTCCCTGGTGTTATTGTTCACCTTAGAGGCCAGTCTAACATTTGGCTGAAAGCTGAACCACAGGGGTGAGTTTGGATCCAGACTTGATGGTTGTCTAAGGGCCATAGTCTATGGGGTTCCACCAGTCTCTATCAGCCCTTTTTTATGATTTTGAGTTTTGTTCCACATTTTCTGCCATTCTATCTAGGACCTCCTATTGTGATCCCTTTGAGAGTGGTCAGCTGTGGTAGCTGGACTCCATCAATTTCTTCTTATCTCTGGGTCATGGAAGCTGGGGTTCACATGGTCCATTAGTCCTTTGGACTACCTATTTCCATATATCTTTCATTTTCTTCACACTTCTTTACTCCAGAAAAAAAAAAAAAAAAAAAAAACTCACTGCCATTGAGTTGCTTCTACTCATAGCAAACCCTTCTTGGGTTTCCGAGGTATTATCTCTACAAAAGTAGATTGCCCAATCTTCCTTTCCAAGGAGTGGTTGGTGGGTTTGAACCACCAACCACCAGCCTTCTGTTTAGCAGTCAAATGCCTTAGGTACTACGTCATTTGGAGAAAGGTCTCTGAGGTTTTTGGCACACTTGGACCCTGAATATAGCTGAGTTTTCATTCAGCAGCCTGCCATGTTGTCTGTCAAGCTGGGAACTGTTCTTAGATTTGAACGAGTGGGCTGCTGTGTTGTTTGATAATCTCAGGACAGTGCCATTTTATTTGTTGATCTTGGGTTTTCAGCCTCAGCAGCCAGCAGCTGCCTGAGTGAAGAAAGCCTCCAGCTTCAGTAGGCTGGAAGAAAGAACAGAGTGGAAGCCCAAGATCAATGGCTTTCACCCAGCTCCTAGAGCTGTCACTTTGAACCCAGACTTCTAGCCTCCTAAATTGTAAGAGAATAACTCCTGTTTGTTAAAGCTATCTCTACCTGTGGTATTTTCTGTTAGAGCAGCACTAGAGAACAGAAAAAATAACCGAATTACGCAATTCATGGCACTGCACCAGCTACCACTACTTACCACTCTGATCAGGATCATAATAGAAGGTTCTGGACAAAAAGGGGAGGAGGGCATATAGAACAAAATTTTAAGTCATAGAAAGATCAGATTTACTGATCTGATAGTGACTGGTGGGAACCCCCAAGGCTGTGGCCCTTACACCTTCTTCAAGCCTGGAACTGAGCTCACTCTCAGGGACCAACTCTCAGCCAAACAACAGACAGGCCTATAAAGCGCATAATAACACCAGGGGGAAATGTATTCCTCAGTGTAATCAGCCATCTGAGACCAAAAGGGCAGCTTTTTCCCAAAATAAAGCCCAGAAGGCAGGAAGGAGAATGAATGAAAGATGAATGGAAACAAAAAACCTAGGGAGAAAGTGGGAAGACACGTGGTACATTGAAGGGATTACAATCAGTGTCATGAAACAAAATGTGTATAAATTGTTGAATAGAAATCTAGTTTTCTCTGTAAACTTTCACCTAAAACAAAAACAACTCACTGCCGTCGAGTCAATTCTGATTCATAGGGACCCCTCGTTGGCTTTCGGAGGCAGTATCTCTATGGAAATAGATTGACCACCCTTCCTTCTGAAGAGTGGCTGGTAGGTTTGAACCACCAGCCTTCTGATTAGCAGTCAAATGCCTTAAGCACTGAGCCATCAGAGCTAGGAAAGATATTTCATGCTGTGCAAGCAAAGGTATATATATCTAGAGACTAGAGGGGACATCAATCCACCAGGCCTATCAGGTGGTTGGCTCTTATGGAGTTCTATTTTATAAATATGGTCCCTTGATGGTTTGTTTGTTTGTTTGTTTGTTTACTTTAATGGATGATTCTCTCTCATAAGATTCTCTATTATTGAAAGATCATGTTAAATTCTCTATAAATAACACCATTAGTTGATTTAAATGGCAGTTCATGAAAGCCTAACTTCAAAATCCGCTATCTTTGGGAACACCTGTGGCAAATACACTCCCTGTTTAAGACCTGTCCACATCCTCACAATCCCTCAGTGCTTGCAAAGACAAGGAGCCCTGGTGGTACAATGATTAGTTCCTGGCTGCTAACTGGAGCTCTGGAAGCATAGTACCTAAGGCACTTGACTACTAACCAGAAGGCTAGAGGTTCAAACCCACTCTTCAGAAGGAAGGCTGGGCAATCTACTTCTGTAGTGATACCACCTCAGAAACTCAAGGAGGGGTCGCTATGAGTTGGGTCTGACTCGATGGCACATAAAAACAACAACAATTAACTGTAAAGATCAGTGGTTCAAACACAGCAGCCGCCCTGCTGGAGAAAGACCTGGTGATCTGCTCCTGTAAAGATCTGAGCCTTGCAATTTTTCTCTGTGTTGTATGTTTGCAATGAGTCAGAACCAACTTGATGGCACACAACAAAAACAATATTGCAAATGAGGCAATGAGTTATAACTTCACAGCTTTACACTTTGTTATTAACAAAACCCAGACTTAGCAAACCAGTGAAAATCGATATAAATTTGGAAACCTCTCAAGAGCTACTTTAGGCTCACAGAAATGTAGCATAAACCATTTCCTCTACAGAGTCTGCCAAAGTTTTGTATTTTTGTTCATTTATTTTTTTCACCTAAGTAGTGATTTTCTCAACTCTTTAAGCCAAAGAGCCCTTTGTTTAAACAAAATTTGATTTAGAAGAAAGCATAATTGATGAACAGAGAAATACAAATCACGACCGGAATGAGATATCATTTTATGCTGGTTTAATTAGTAAAGAGTGAAACGTCTTTGACACCAATTGATAAAGAGGATGTGGATCCAAAGGGTTTCTTTGGTCAGGACAGCTTCTCTGCTATACCCACAGGCAGGCCTCTCCCCGGTTCTCAGCCTCTTGGCTCCTGAAGTCTATTGAGCTGGCCTCTGCCTTGTTTGGGCAGATGTTACAAAGCTCTTTAGCTCCATCAGTAAATGTCCAGGGGCACCCTACTCCACCAGGAAGCCTCCTACCCAAAGGTACTCAGCTCTCTTACTCCATGGGTCAGCATGCCTAGCTCCACCAAGTGTCTGGAGGCATCCCATTGTAATCACCTTGCTGTGTGGGCCAGGAAGCTCACTGCACCATCCCACACCAGGCTTTTGATTCTGCTGCCGTGGTTTCTGTGCCACAGTTTCTCACCACCTTGCACCATCTCCGGTACTACAACTCTCTCTCTCTCTCTGTCTAGGAGGTTCTCAGTGAGGGACCCTGGGTCCAAAGGATGAACTCTGCTCCCATTTCTTCTTTCTTGGTGGTAGTGAGGTCTCCCCTTTCCAACCCTAGGATGGCTCATTTTAAGTTTAGTGGGATGGCAAACTGACCAGTTCCCTCATTAGGGTTCCATACCCCTTATTTGCATGATCCCACACCCACAATGGTGCCATGCCCCTTAGATGCATTATTAGCAAACTTCTCAACCCCCTTGCTGGGCCATAAGCACCGTATTTGCATAGTGCCATCTAAGCATTTGGTGGGAATTACAGGATCATGCCTAGAAAAGCCATATAAAAGCCATCCATTGTACCACAGCCTTGTAAACCCTATGGAGCACAGTTCTACTCTGAATACATGGGGTTGCAATGAGTTGGAACTGACTTGAGGGCAGTTAACAACAAGGTTTGCATCCAATGGAAATATTAATATGCAATAGAGGACATGACGAAGAATGTTTATATATATATATATATATTTGTTGTTGTTGTTAGGTGCTGTCGAGTTGGACCCAACTCATAGCGACCCCTCCTTGGGAAGCAGTATCACTACGGACGGAAGTAGATTGGCCCATCTTCCTTCTGATGAGTGGCTGGTGGGTTTGAACCGCCAGCCTTCTGGTTAGCTGTCAAGTACTTTAGGCACTACGCTACCAGAGCTCACTTATATATATATATATATATATATATATATATATATATATATACACACACACACACACACAGAGAGAGAGAGAGAGAGAGGGAGATTTATCTCAGGGAAATGACTCACACAGTTGTAAAGGCTAGCAAGTCCCAAGTTCGTGGGTCAAATTTTAAGATGGAGGCTTTTCCTGACTCACTCAGCTGCAGTGACTGATGAACACAAGATTGGCAGGCAGTATAGCAGGCTGCTGACTTTGGCAGATGAGAATCCAAGTTTGGCAGGTAAAATGGCAGATTGTGGCTCACAGGCTGTGAAGGCAACAATTCCAAGATCAGCAGGCAGCATAAGAGGTCATTGATTCAGCTCCAAAAACAGGACCTAGATGCAGGATCCAGATCCAACAGAAAGTCTGAGAATTTTCTCAAGACATCCATATATATATGTATATATGTTTGTGTATATATATACACAAACACACATCTGGATATGGCTGTATATATCAGCCACATTGATTGGCTGCTCAAAGCCTATCCCACCATGGAGGTGACTACCTTACATCAGATCTCATCATGGGAACAGCCATACCACAGCTGCTTAAATCACTCAGAATCATGGTCCAGCCAAGTTGACACACAATCTTAACTATCACAAGGGTCTCCCTTTTTTGCTTACCCTCTACTTTACCAAGCATGGTATCCTTCTCCAGGGACTGGTCCCTTATGATAACATGATTTCAGTAGGTGAGACACAGTCTGCCCATTCTTGCTTCTAAGGAGCATTCTGGCTGCACTTTTTCCAGGAGGGATTTGTTCATTCTGACAGTCCATTGTATTTTTAGTATTCTTTGCCAACACCACAACTCAAAGGCATTAACTCTTCTTTTCTCTTCCTTATTCACTGTCCAGCTTTCACATGGATGAGGCAGTTGAAAATACCACGGCTAGGGTTAGGCACACCTTAGTCTTCAGAGTGACATCTTTGCTCCTTAATAAAGTGATACATATAGAAGGCATTAAGGATATTTCAAAAGGAAAGCAAGGGAATGATGAACAAAGAATTCAAGAGGAATATTACCTTGGGCAAGAGAAAGCAGGGGAATAGAATGGGGTGGGGGTTAGTAGCAGAATAATTGCCCCCAAAGACATCCATGAAGCATTCATTGGTGGTTCAAAAAATTCTCCCTTCTATGTGGGAGACCTGAGTTTATTCCTGGCCAATGCACTTCATGTGCATCCACCCCTTCTGTACTGGAGGCTTGTGTGTTGCTATGATGCTGAACAGGTTTCAGCTGAACTTCCAGATTGACTCAGACTAGGAAGAAAGGCCTGGAGATCTACTTCAGAAAATCAGCCAATGAAAACCGTATAGATCAGAATGGTTCAATCCACAACAGATCATGCAGAAGGCACAGGATTGGCCAGCATTTCATTTTGTTGTGCATGAAGTCATCATGAGTCAGGGGCTGACTGGATGGCAGCAAACAGCAGTAAAAGATCTCCATATCCTAATCCCTGGAACCTGAGAATAGACGGGGTTGTGTGGCAAATGGGAATTAAGGTTACAGTTGGAATTAAAGTTGCTTATCAGCTGTCCTTAGGATTATCCTAGATTATTTGTATAGATCCAATGTAATCACAAGGGAGCGCTGGTGGCGTAGTGCCTAAGGCATTCACCTGCTAACCAGAAGGCTGGTGGTTCAAACCCACTAGCCATTCCTCTAAAGGAAGGTTGGGCAATCTACTTCCATAGTGATATTGCCTCGGAAACCCAAGGAGGGGTCCCTGTGAGTCAGTATCAACTCCACGACAGTGAGTTTGGTTTCTGGAATGTAATCACAAGGATATTTGGAAGTGGAAGAGGAAGGTAGAAAAGGACAGAGAAATGTGACTATAGAAGAAAGATTAACAAGATATGTGAGGAGGACTGGACCCACTTTTATAAGCTTTGAAGCTAGTAAAGGGGCCACAGATCAAAGAAGCTGGAAAAGGCAAGGAAACTGATTCTCCCCTAGAGCCTCCAGAAGGGAACACAGCCCTGCCACCACCTTGATTTTTTTTTTAAATCCAACCATCATTTTATTGTCTTCTCCTGTAAACTATCAGTAATAATTCATAATTGACACTAATATTACTTAATTCAAGGGATATTGTGAGGATTTATTTAGTTACTACATTTGAAGTATTCAGAATAATGTCTGGCACATAGGAAGGACTTTATAAACATTGGCTGTTATTGATAATATGCTTTAGCCTACTTTTCAACAGGTGTTTATCAAATGCCTACTCTGTCCTAAACACACATGGGCCCAACTTTGTGCTGTTCTTAAAAATAACCATTTAAAAAAAAAAATAAGTAAAGTTTCAAAAAGCATCATTCTTTATAAAAATGTAGAGAAACAATTTTATAAATTATTTAAATTAGATTCACCAAAAAAGATTTTTTCTAAGCCATTTCTTATTAAAAATTTCTTGTTAAACATAAGACAATTACATGCCATAAACTGAATAAAATTCCCTTCAAAGTTTTAGGTAACAATGTTTCATTGTTAGAATGAAAGCACATATTTGTTTTTTGGGTTTTCTAAAATAATATTTTATTGTGTTTTAGCTGAAAGTTTGCACAGAAAATTAGGTTCCCCTTTAAGTTTTTATACAACTTTCTCTGTGCCCATTGGTTACAATATTGACAATGTGTCAGCATTATCATTATTTCCATTCTGTTTCTCCTTGCTGTGTTCTTGTTCTTGCATTGATCTAGCTTTCGTCCCCTCCCCCTGTAGCTTAACCACTACACCCCCATGGCTCCTTGGGATGCTGTTAAACATCCCATAATACACAGGCAGCCCCCCTACAGCAAAGAATCACCAAGTCCAAAATCTCATAGAGCTCCTGTTGAGAACCTATAGTATAGATTTAGGCTATTGTCAAGGTTCTGGCATTTGTTTTGAATTCTGGTTTCATGGGTGTTTATTTCATTATTAAAATGGACTAATGATATATCTTATCAAATAAATAAAATTGGCCTTTTCGTGGACTAATGAGGACATGGCTCTAATTGTCACAAACTGAAGATTATGACTTACCCAACTGTATGTACTCAAGTTTCAGAGGAAAATAGTAATTAGGTTAGTATGTAAAGGTAGCCATGACAAATGTGAGGGTTAGCTCACCTCATCCTCACTACCAGCTTATAGGGACAGCAAGACACAGACCAAAATCTGAGCCACAGATTATTTCACGGTTATACACTAATTGTTGTTGTTATGTGCCGTCGAGCCGTACCCGACTCATAGCAACCCCTCCTTGGGTTTCTGAGGCAGTATCACTATGGAAGTAGATTGCCCAATCTTCCTTCCGAGGAGTGGCTGGTGGGTTTGAACCACCAGCCTTCTGGTTAGCAGTCAAGTGCCTTAGCCACTATGCTACCAGAGCTCCCAATACACTAATTAGGATACACAAAACATTTCATAAAAACTATTACAAAAAAACCCAAAACTGTAATTGAGTCGATTCCAACTCATAGCAACCCCCACTGGGTTTCCAAGGCTGTGTATCTTTATGGACGTAGATTGCCTTATCTTCCTCCCACCAAGCAGCTGGTAGGTTTGAACTGCTGACCTTCAGGTTAGCAGCCAAATGCCTTACCTACTATGCCAAAAGAGCTCCTTACAAACCATTATAAAAGCCATGATAGATATTCCAGTTCTTTGTCTTTTTTGGTGCTCTGATCAATACCTTTTATGAAAGATTCATGCCAGGCAAATGTGACAACGTTCCAGGGGCAAATGAAAATTCTGTCAACAAGACAAATTAGTTTTCAGTCATTCATGATGATACAGCCTTCAGGTTTTGCTAAATTCTTAGTCCCTCTTTACCCCTTCATGCAAGAAAGGTGAGTATCTCAAAAATATTTTAGCCAGCACACATGTCTGGCCAATTTATCCTATCACTCTGTCTATACTGAAATGGTTTAAGGTATATTGTTCTCTTTTTTAGTTGCCTTTGAGTGGATTCTGAGTAGAACTTCTCCACAGGATTTTCAAGACTATGACTTTTTGGAAGCAAATCTCCAGGGTTGCCACCCAAGGTGCCTCTGGGTGAGTTCTTACTGCCCACCCAAAATTTTGACTGGTAGTCTAGTGCACCACCCAGGGACTCTTAAGGTAAATTACAAACACCGCCACATTATTACAAAGTAAGCTTCATGAGAGAAAGCGTTTACTTTAGTTAATCCAATATATAAAACATATAATTTCAACATTTCAGACATGCAAATGCTTGCGCTTACCCTAGCCCT